CCCATCGGGCTGTGTGCCCAGGATGAGTGCCCTGAGAGCTGGAGGGCAACCCTGAAGAAGAGGCCGGCATGGGGTGACACGCACCCCCAGACGTTCAGGGCACGTTCTTTCTGATGGCTCTTTCTTTAAAGCAGGAACTTAGTTCAAGAAGGACCACTTGGGACAACAGGGGTGGTTGAGCGTAGTTGGGGAGAGAACCCCGAGGAGAGGGTTGTCCAGAGCCCCGGCGTCCCAGGAGGGCACCCTGAAAATCTTTGCTGAGACACGGACGGGTTTTTAAACGAATTAAAGCGTGGGATTTCGCAGTGGCGCAGTGGGACCTCCGTCACGTTGAAGCGCCAACTCCTGGAGGATGGGAGGAGGTGCAGCCTTGCAGCCCCTGCCTGGCCCCTGCCCATCACCGCTGGGGGGTCCCTCCACCCGCAGTTCCGAATCTGGCAACTCCTTGATCTACCCGGCCTGTGTTAAGATGACGTACCCCCACCCCCCGCGAGGGGGTGTTAGGGCTCTCGCCCACAGGAAGCTCCCCTCCCAGCGGCGAGGGGACGGGGTAGTGTCTTCACGCACCTATAGCAGGGCAGATGGCAGAGGGCATGCTGGCTCTGCCTCCTGCCGTGCTCACCTGGGGAGGCCAGTGTGCTCCTCTATGCTGTCGCCCTTGGAGTGGCTCCAGCTGGTCAGGTGAGCGGCCAGAGCCTCCTGTAAAGCCTGGGCACTGGCCAGCTGATGGCTCCAGCGTGCTCCAGCCCACAGGTCTGCAGTGCCTCCTCTTCCATTTGGGGCAGGACTGAGGAAGCCACCCTGGGTGGAAAATGTCCCTGTCCAGCCCAAGCTCCTGGAACAGGCACAGAGCCTCAGAATCCCCTGGATGTGGTCTCTGTGATGTCCACTCCCGTGGGTGGGGCGCACCGTGGGGCTGAGCCACCATCACCGGGGAAGGGCCCGAAGCTGTGCAGCCAGCAGGGCACATCGCGAGCAGCGGCCGGGGGTCAGCCCTCTCACAGGAAGGGAGCGGCCATGATCAGGAATCCAGACAGCCACCTGGTGCAAGGCCAGTAGGAGCAGAATGGCCGCGGGGCGCCCCACCCCAGGGCATGTCAGAGACACTCCGTGAGGGTGGGACAGGGCCCTGGGTGTTCGGTACGAGAACCGTGGGGCGGATGGCCTTATCTTGAAGATGCTGGCAGCAACCTATCTCTCAGGTGCCTGCGTGTCCTATTCACCTGTCCACTCCCGACTAGAGCCTGCACTTCGGGAGACAAGGCAGGAGTGGGCATCTCCCGGGGTGCCCCGCTATGTGGCTAGTGTGGAGCAGGCGCCCATTAACCACTGCTGCCGACGGACCGCTACAGGAGCTAGAAATTCTTTCGGGAGCTGCCCAAGGAAAACAGCCCAGGTGGCCCTCGAGAGTTGAGTCGAAAGGTTCAAACATTTGTTCATTCGTTCCTTTAATACATGATTATCAAGCCAGTTTCAAACCCTGGGAACACAGCGGGGAAAAGGCAGGACACGGTTCTTGCCCTCTGGAGAGAGAATGTGAACAGGCCAAATGACCCAGCGAATGTCGCACTTTCAGAGAATGCAATAAACTAGGGTGTGGGACTGAGCTTGCCGAAGACGGCGCCTGAGCTAAGGACTGGAGGACAGCGAGGAGCCAGCCACAGGGAAGGGCCGCGCTGGCCCCGGCGGCCCCGGCGGCCCCGGCGGCCCCGGCAAGGGCGTCTGCCGGCTTGGGTGCGGGAGAGGCAAAGTATTCCTCAAGAGTTCAGATCGCGCCTGCCCTCAGCCTGGTTTTCATTGAAAATCCCTACTCTTCGTGTGGTCTTGGGACCCTAAGCCAAGACATTACCCAGAGTTCCAAGTTAGGAGAGCCGGGGGTGGCTGGTGGGAGCAGCACAAATCCACCGGGGGGGGGGGTCCCCCTTTCACTTCAGACTGCGGGGCTCGCCACAGAGAGAGGCACCCAGGCAGGGTATGGTGACACCAAAGGAAACCGGCCACTGTGGGCTAGAGGTGGGTGAATCAGGGGTGAAGGGCGTCAGGTGCCGGAGTTAACTCCCCGCAGACAAAGAAAAAGCAGACTCGAAATAAACACGAGGGAGAAGAAGATGGCGTGAACACCCGAACCAGGCAGATTTCAAAACCGGAAACCTAAGAGAATGTCTATAAATAATTTTTAAAAAGCATAACAAAGTTTGTCGGGTTCCGTGGACGGGTTAAAATAAATCAGATGCAGCCGAAGACAGAGTCGGGGAAACGGAAGACAAGCCTGGAGGAACGAGACAGACGCGGCCCTGACAGACGCGAGACGACAAGAGCGGAGCCCCGTGCGCAGGTCTGTCACAGGCACCGGCTCCCGGTCCTGGCGCAGAAGAAAACACGACGGAGGCCGCGCCTCCCCTGGGACCCCCCGCGGCAGAGCGCCGCGCAGGCGAGGAGAACAGAGCGCGGGGGTCCCACAGCCAGACCTGGGCCTGTCCCGCTGGAGCAGGGACGAGAGCCAGGGGCGCAGGTGCAGCCGCGGCCGCGGTGTGTGGGGAGGAGCCCGTCGGCACGGCCGGGGGCTCCGCTCTCGGTCCACATGAGCTCTGGGGGACCCCGGCTGCGGCTGCGGGAGAGCACCTGCCTCCTGCTTCTAAAGCACCCCTTGTCTTCCTGGGGCGAACCGTCCGCGGGGGGTGGGCAAAGGGGATGCGAGACCTGTGGGAAGCGCGGACGGAGGTGGAGGCAGGGACGGGGTGGGGCGCGGCTGCGGGCGGCGGATTTGGAGGGAGAGCCAGCAGGACTGGACGAGGCCGTGAGATGCACACACAGGTGGCGGCTGCTGCGCCAGGGACGACTGGGGAGGTGAAAGGTGAGAGGGCGAGGGCGAGACCCAGGAGGGGGCGACGACACCGCTAACGGGCACACTAATGACGTTGTGTTGACATAAAGACGGCAAAAGGAGCGCGCCCTCCCGCGGGGAGCGGGAATGGGGGGCCAGACAGCGCGGGGGAGGGCTGGGGTCTGCACGTCGTGGGAACCTGGCGGGAGGCGGCAGCATGAAGGGGTCTCCTCCACAGAGCTGGGACTTTCCCAGGGGCCCCGGCCAGCACAGGAGGCTGACAGCCTGCAGCCCGGAGACGAGGGAGCGGTCCATTTAGGGGCCCCGCGAGGTGTCAGGAATGGTCCTCGCACGTCTGTCGAGCGACCGAGTGAATGAGGGGGAGGTCACAGAGCTGCTGGGCCGGAGGCGCGGCGGCCGCTGCTCCAACCACCAGCAGGTAGTGAGTCACGTGCAACGTGAGACCCGTTTTAGAACAGCAGAAGAAAATACCTGGGAACAAACTTAAGAAGTTAGGGAATGCGGAAATCCTACTTAGGGGAAGAGAAGACGTCAGCCCACTCCTTCCACGCGCATCTGACCCGTGACCCGCGACAGAGCGCTGATGTGGAAACGGCCCAGTCAGCGTTTCTGGAAAACCGCATCTGAGCACACACGTGGTGAGCACGCTTTAGCAACAGAACGGTGCGGAAGGAAGGGCCACGTCCATCACGAGGATGACACGACAGCTGTCACTCAGCACAGATGAACGCGGCGAAGCTGATGGTCCGGAATGGACCCGAATCGTCAGGCGCTGGGACGATGGGCTCGGCTTTTTTTTTGTTTTGTTTTTAACTGAATCTTTACTTCACTCTTACAGCAAAATAAATTCCAGATGGAGCAGGAATTTAATCATGAAATATGAAACTAGAAAAGCTCTAGAAAAAACCTGGAAAAATGGTTTATCACTTTGGAGCGAGGAGGGCTTTTTCAAGCAAACTACAAAGTCCTAAAGGATAAGATTAATAATTGTATCTGTGTTCTTAAAAAAAAAGCCAAAGGACCACAAACGGGGAGGGAGGGATTGCAACAGATATATCAAGACTAATTTCGTAACACATGAAACAGCTCTTGCAAATCAGCAATAAAAACAACTAATAGAAACATCTGCAAAAGATACAACCCCCATTCCACTATTAAAAATCAAGTGATATAAATTTACGACCAGATAAACGGTGTGAAAATAAAGGTAATGAACACATGACCCCACTCCTGAGCGTCCGAGACTCGCCAAGGACCTGTGCTGTCCAGGGCGGCATGTCTGCGCTGGCTGCAGGGCGGGTGCCGCTTGACACCTCCCAGCTCCACATTTGGGTGTCGCCCAGGCAGCCTGAGGGTGGCCGGAGCTGGACTATTTGCACCATGGAAGTTGGCAGACAACGTGTTGGTTGATTTATCGTTTTGTTTATCTACAGACTTCTCGAAGACAACACCCGGGGGGCTCATGTCCCAGGAACTTGGCAGTGGGACCCCTGCCCCTGCCGCGGGCCCCACCGCGCTGTGGGTGTTAGAGTTCCGGATGTCTGTCCCCCACAAACACAGCCTTTCAGGGGTAGGAAACCGATTTCTTTTAAGCATGAAACTCGGTTGCAGGTGCTCCGTACCCTGGAACAAAGCACCGAGGTTCTGAGACGCGGCAGGACAGGTGGCAGCCTTGTTGTTTTTCCTGAGCGAGCCCGTGGGGAGAGGGCCCTCCCGGGGTTACACTGCATCTTAACCCAAGACCTCGCCTTGGGCCCCAGGATGACGGCAGCCGTAGCCAGGAGCGAGGGACAGGGACTGGGAGCCCGTGGAGCCAGGCAGGCACCACTGGGCTCTGCCACCCCACACTCAGTGTCGGCACAGATAGTGACCTCTGTCCGGCCTGCAGGACCACCACCAGGTCCGGACTTCGGATCATCCGGTGGCCCCCAGCCCCTGGGATCCTCCCCCAGGGGCCACACAGTCCCTTCTGGCTCTGGGCCAGGAGGCACCGCGGTGGACGTGACCCCGCGTGGGTTTCGGGCAAGGTCAGAACAGGCACTCAGCTCCCACCTGCTGTGGACTGAACCGTGTCCCCTGCAAATCCAGATACTGAAGCCCCAGCCCCCAGTGTGGCTCTCTCTGAGGGCAGGACCTTTAAGATGTAACTAGGGTTAAACGGGGTCGTGAGGGCGGGCCCTGACCTGATAGGACTGGCCTTTTAAGAAGAGGGAGAGGAAAGATCTACCCTCCGGGTAAGGCCACAGCAAGGAGGTGGCCGCCCGCAAGGCAGGGAGAGGCCTCGCCAGGAGCAGAACCGGCCAGCACCTCGACCTTGGACTTCCAGCCTCCAGAATTCTGTGAAGTGAGGGTCTGCTGTCTCAGGCACCCAGTCCGCGGCGTTTTGCTGGCTAAATCTTGCTCTCTCCACTTGCTCTTGGAAAGCCAGCCACGTGTCGTGAGGAAGCCCGGGCCACAGGCAAAGTCACACGCTGGTGTCCCCACTGGCGGCCGGCCCTGTGCCACTGTGCAGGCTCATTCAGCAGGGCCCGTCCGAGGACCCTGGCCCGGCCCGTGGGGCAGAGAGCAAAACTGGTGCCACTGAGGCCTGATCAAATGCAGATTCCAGAACAATGTACGTGCTGCCCTGGGGTATCTTAATGGCTTCATTGTGGTGGAATTAACACGCTGCGAAGCCCACCCGTTTGGAGTGTACGACTAAGTAACCTTAGCGACCCCGGGGAGCTGTCTGGCCATCTCCATGACGCTATTTCGGAACATTAGTGACACCCCCAAATTCCCTCGTGCACGTTTGCAGTCACCTCCTGCCCTCGCCCCCGCCGTCCCTAGCGGCCACAGACGGGCCTGTTCCCGGCGTTGCCCACACATGGAATCAGGCCGCCTGGGGCCCCGCATGTCCGGCCCCCTCGCGAGCGCAGCCCTGTGTCAGAACCCACTGTGCTCGTGGCGGCCGAGGGGCCCCCTCGCTTGGCACCCCACCCTTTGCTGGCGCGCTCCGCGGCTGCCGGGTTCTGGCGGTG